TTTTTATTTAGAGACAGGGTCTCACTAAGTTGCTTAGGGCTTCTATAAGACTGAGGCTGAGGCTGGCTTTGAATTTAAAATCCTCCTGATTCCTTATTCTTTTTTTTTTTTTTTTGGTCTGAGGATTCTGTAATAATATACCTGTAATAATATACCTGATTCATTCATTCATGAATATATATTATATATTGGTAATTTGAGTCATCTTTTTTGTCAGTTTTGCTAGAGGTTTGTCAATTTAATCAAAATTTTCTAAGAACAGGGTCTTTGTTTCACAGAGTTTTCTCTATTGATTTTTGTTTTCACTTTAATTTTTAGTCCTTATTGTTTTCTTCTGCTTGTTTTGGATTTATTGTTTTCCAGGTTCTTGAGGTGGGAGCATGGATTTTTGAATTGACACTTTTCCTCTTTTCTAATGTATGTAGCTAATGCTATAATTTTTCCTCTTGCTATGGTTTTAGCCATGTCTCATATATTGCAYATTTTATTTCCATTCAGTGCTATATATATATATATATTGGTACCAGGGATTGAACTCAGAGGCACTCAACCACTGAGCCACATCCCCAGCCCTATTTGGTATTTTGTTTAGAGACAGGGTCTCATGAGTTGCTTAGTACTGTTGCTGAAGCTGGCTTTGAACTCAAGATCCTCCTGTCTCAGCCTCCTGAGCCTCGGGGATTACAGCTATGCACCACTGTACTCCGCAGTGCAATGCATCTTTAAATTTCCCTTAGACTTCCTCTTTGACTTATGGAATTACATAGAAGGGTTTTGTTTAGTTTTCATGTGTTGAAGGTTTTCCTGTTATCATTCCATTATTGATTTATAATTTGATTATATTGCTTTGTACGATTTCAATTCTTTAAAATTTGAAGAGTTTGATACAGGGCACAAGATATGTTCTTAGAATGTGTTCCATGAAGACTGGGGGAAAAATGCATATTCTGCTGTTGTTGGATACATCTATAAATGTTGAATAGACCCTACCCTGTTGGTTGGTGAGCATTCTTAAGTTGTATGTTTCTTAATTTTGTTTAGTAGGGGTATCAGTTGTTGAGAGGGGATATTGAAGTCTCCAACTGTTCAAATGGATGATTCGTCTATTTCTCATTTCAGTTCTGTTATTGCTTCTTGCATTTTGTAACTCTATTGTTTTATATATACATGTTTAGAATTGCTATGTCTTCTTGATGGATTGAATCATAAAGTTTACATTCCTTTGCCTCTGGTAGTTTTCTTTGAATACTTCTCTGATATTAATATAGCCACTTTTTTGAAAAAAAAATTTTCAGTCCATGGTTTATATTTTTATTGTGTTGATCAAGAAAATTTTCCCTTGTCTTTAGTTTTAGAACTTTGACTAGGGTATATCATGAATTTCTATGGATTACTCTTTATGGATTATCCATTGAATTTACGGTTTACCCTTTTGGTGGGGGGGGGGGTTGCTTAACTTCCTTACTGAATTTGTCATTATTTCCTTGAGGATTTTTTCATCCTTGTCCTTTTCCTACTTTCCTTCTGGGATTCCSGTGCCATTAATGTTAGATCTTTTGCTATAGTCCCACAGGTCCAAGAGGCTCTGCTGTTTTTTTCCAATAATTTATTTTTTCTCAGATCAGAATATTTTTTTTGTTTTATCTTCCAATCACGGATTCTTTTTTGTTTCCTACTCTGTTGTAAAGTCAACCCAAAATTATGTTTTCCAGTTCCATATTTGCCATTTGGCTCTTCTTTATACATTTTGCTTCATTACTGAGACTGTCTTTTTTGATTTAAGTATGTTCACAATTACTTGTTACATTTTTTTTTTACTAAGGATGTTTTGAAATGTTTTTTTAGGTAATTCTAACATTTCTTGTTCTTCTGTTAGCATTTATGGATTCTTTTTTATTCCATTTGAGATATTCTTGGTTCTTGGTGGAGGGATTTTCAGTTGAAACCTAGACAACTTGTGTACTGATGCTAATAAAACTTTTAACTTTCCACTAGGCTTCCTGTGACACCCTGCAGGAGTGTGGGGAGGTGTCTATGGAGCTAGTGGTTGAGAGTCCAGGCTTTGAGTGGTCTCTGCTGACATTGCTAGGAAGGAGAAGGGAGCTTCTTGTTACAACCTGGTGAGGGTAGAAATCTAGACTCCTGGCTGGGTCTTTGCTGGCTTGGGTAAGGATGAGGTCACAGGTTTTTCTGTGGTGTTTGGCTGGAGTAGGGTGATTATCATCTAAAATATTTCTGCCTTGTTAGGTTGCCCTTCCCAAGTGTTTTGGCTGGAAAGATTAGGCTTGAATTGGGACTTAGTCAGTACTTGGTGTTTGGGGGTTATCAGTTTCTTCAGCTTCAGGTTGAGGATATGTGAAGCAAAAAGAAAACCTAGGAAATGTACTACTGTGTGATTCCTTAAGTCCCGAGGTCTCCAGTCACTCTGATTTATCCTCACCTTTCATATACAGTGTTCATGTTTCTTGTTGTATTTAAGGGAAGGATAGGGAAAAGCCTACTCTGCTTCTGTCAGTGTTAGTTTGTACAAATCATTTCTGCCAGTAACATTCACAGAGGACTGGAAAAAAGTATGTAAGTCTCTTGGAGCAAAGAGATGAAAATATAGGATAAAAATCATGAGATGTGCATGTGGATTCAAAATAGCCCCATGAGAGGCTTTTGACGGTATATTGACCACCCCATGTTATGCATAAATGTAAAGAAGTCCCAGACAATGACTCTAGCCTCAGATTGCTTGCAGTCTAGTTAGGAAACCAAGATGTAGATTGCAAAATGCAAATGCTACACAAAGCAGTAACTATTAAGTGTTCATGAGACACGCAGTTTGTCAGAGAGATACTCAAGAGAGGGTGTCCGGAAAGGTCTCACATTTCACAAAAGCAACAGAATGTGAACTAAGCTCAGGAAAAAAACAAAAACGAAAAACAAAAAAACAGGCGTGGATATGGTGGAACAAGGAAGCTGGTGAAAAGGCATCAAGATGGGGAGAATAAAATGACAAAGGTACAAGGTCAGTATTATGAATAATAAAATCCACCATTATATTTATCTGGTATTTTTAGAATCTGAGCATTATGCCAAACATCTTATTATGTTATTTAATCATTCCTTGGAATGTGCCATTGAAGTATGAATTATTTCCCACGTTACAGATGAGGAAACTGAGGTTCAGGGAAGCAACTTTCCAAATATCACATAATTGTATGGAGGGAGCACTAGGATTCATGCCCAGGTCTGTCTGAAATATATTAAGCATTAACCCTAGACTACCTGGATTGCATGCACTACTTCTCTAGATGATGGAATTGACTACTCTGAGCAAGTAGAAGAGAATAAGGTTGGGGTTTGAGGCATGATATGTGAACCCTCACATTTTTTAGCAGGGGACTCCCTGAACATTTCTGAGCAAAGGAATGAGGGCTCTACAGCAAGCCTCTTTGCGGGGGGGGGGGGGGGGCAGGGGGGGGGGGGGGGCATCAGGGAGTGGAGACTTAGGGTAGAGGAAGAAAACATAATGGAGAAGATGACCTGGTTTCCAGTAGCTAGGCGGAAAAAGTGGACGTCACACATTGACCTCTGCACAAAGTCCCTTGTCAGGTGAACTTTAATTAATATTAAATCGAATATTAAAACTAATTAATATTAGTAATTTCAATATTACTAATAAACTGACACCATGGTACATACCTATAATCCCAGTAGCTCAGGAGGCTGAGGCAGGAGGATCATAAGTTCAAAGTCAGCCTCAGCCACTTAGTGAGGCCCTAAGGAACTTAGCAAGATACTGTCTCTAATAAATAAACAAACAAATAAAATGGGCTGGGGATGTAGCTCAGTGGATAAGCACCCTGGGTTCAATCCCAGGTACAAAAAAATACTAATAAAACAAAATAATTCTTCTGGGGCTCATTAATTCTGTCCCTCTCTGTCTCTATCTCTGTTTCCCCTTCATCCTTCTTCTCCTTCCCTCAAAACAAATGTTACCTTAGAGTCTTTCTGAAGAAAAAACATTCAGAGCTTTTCAATGGAGACTTTGAGATGCGCATGGGTTAATTTCTGTTTAGCTGCTGGCTCCTTATTTTAAAAATGTCATGTTACTGAGTCATGCTTAGTCAGTCATTCAGAGCCTAGTTAAGTTAATTAAACACAATGTGGGTAGATGGAAATGACATCACATACCTCCTTCAAAAGAAGCAGAGGAGAAATAGAGGGGAAAAGGAGGATTCCAATAGAATTTTGTTGCATAAGACTGGATAGAAACAACAACAACAACAAAATCAGACCAAATATATTCCAGTGATCTCTCAGATGGGACAGTCAAGACACTGTGCTGGAATTATAATCAGGTTCAGGAGCACAGGGAGGGATGGCCAAAGCAGTCCTCAATCTGGGAGGAATTAGAGTTTATAGAACATTCTACAAAATACATTCCATGGAATGACCTATGGAGTGTGTGTGTGTGTGTATGTGTGTGTGGGGGGTCCATAGTTTGTTACAAAACACTAATTAAACAAATGTTTCATTACTGCAAGTCTTTTCAGAGCCTTTAAAAATTTAAAGTGCACTATAAACTCTCAAGAGGGGACTTAATATCCAAGATTCCCAGATCTACTTATTCACAGAAATTCTCCTACCCCACTTTTTTTTTCTTGAAGATTTTAATTATGACTGGTCATTCACACTTTATTCTTTTGGAAGTTCTGGGATAGGAAAAGACTTATATATGGCACAAACTGTATCCCCACATGTAGATTATTCTCTGGTTCCTGGAGGATATGCCTAATGTCTGCCTCTAAGATTTTTTTGAGAGCTACATGAATATTTTATCTTCAAATAAAAATTTACAAAGCCAAGCAATTTTCTTCATAGCCCCAAATTTCTCTCCCCAACCCTCTAAACCACCCAAGTGAATCAATAAACTAGTTCATGAGAGGAAATTGCAGCTATTTTATATACTTTTAAAAATCAATAATTATAATCAGATTATAAACCCGAATTGCTTGGCCACATCTCTCTCAGGCTGCTGGGGCTGAAGCTCTTTGTCCTCAGTTCTCAATAGCCCCCTCTCGGCTGATGGGCACACAGCTGGGCCTCTGATGTCCTCTGATCAAAGCAGCTGATGGGAAGCCCTCTGCCATTCTCTCTCCTGGAGGTGAGAGAGCCCTTCTGAAACTCTGACAAGGTGGGATCTTTCCCGCGGGAGAACTGCTCCATTTTCTGCTCCTTTTTCTTAATGGCTTCCTTGATGCCCTCAATGTGGCACTTTTCCTCTTTTTCGGCTTTCAGCTTCAGAATGTGATGATTCTTCTCCCGCAGGATGTTGAGCTCCCGGAGGCGCTGTGCCTTGTCCCTGGGGGTCCTGTGTGCGTGACTCCTCTCCTGCTGGCTCTTCTGCTCGGCTAGCTCCAATAAGATCCTCTTGTGCATCTGCCTCTGCTCCCCAGACTCTACGGCGTGACACTTGACCTGCTCTTCCTCCTTCTGGGCCTTCTCCTTCAGCTGTCGGTACTGCCCCTTCAGCAGGCCCTGGTGGATCTCTTGGGACCGCATGGAATTCTGCTCCAGCGACAGCTTTCTGAGGAGCTCCTCGGCCTTGGCTTGGCAGTCCATGAGCACCTTGCGGGCCTGATAATTGACGAGGGAGCTCAGGTTGGTCTCTTGGACCTTCTTGGTGTCCATCGAGTGCAACTGCCTTTTGTGACAGGCCTCCTCCAGCCTCTTCCGCAGCTGCAGGTTGTTCAGTTCCCGCAAGCTCTGCAGTAACCTCTCCTGCTCTCGCAGGCGCTGAGCTTGGCACTGCTTACGGTGCTCGGCCTCCACGCGCGCCCTCTCCATCCTCGCTAGACGCTGGTTCTCGGGGTCCTGCAGCTGGGACTCCCACCAACTCTCCTCCTGGATCGCGTTCTTCGAGTGGCCGTCCCGCCGCCGGTTGTGATGTTCGCGGCCCCGGCGACCCTTGCGCTCCTTCCGTTGCTGCCACTGCTCTTGACTCTGCTGCAGCAGCAGCCGGCGCTCTTTCTCCAGGGTCATCTGGACCTTTTGGTCTGAGCGCTTCAGCTCCTCCCAAGCGACTGCCGCCTGCTGCTGCAGCTCCCGCATTCTTTGGGCTTTCTGGAGCCGGTTTAGCACTAGGGACACGATCTTCTGGTCCCTCGAGGACATCACCGTCTCTTCCAGTTTGCACTTGAGAATCTGGTTCTGCGGGTCTTTGCTGGAGACCCTGGGCTGGGGATACTGACTGGCTAAGGACTCCATCAAATCGTTACAGTCTCTTTGCTGGGTGTACATACAGGCCGACTGGGTCCTTAACTCTTGGGAAGGCACGGAGGACTTGTCTGTGTGTAAAGAGGAAGAGGACCAGCGACCTACGTGGCTGCAGATCGGCACTGCCCACTGGTCTTCACTCGGTGCTTTCCCTACCCCAGAAGCCACACTCGGGGGATTGGAAGCTCCCCCGGGGTACCGCGGGGGCGAATCTGTCTGGATGGAAGAACAGCGTTGGCAGGACTGAGTCTGTTGGGGTTGCAGATGGAGCTGCTGCTGCCAGGCCGAACTGGGCTTGGTCCTGTCCTCCCCCCAGGCTTCTTCTAGGCGTCGGCTGCCCAATCGGTGCTTCCGGACGCGGTCTGGGGGCCTCCGGGTCAAGCGAGTCAGGCTGCGGCTTTCCAGCGGCGAGGTGTGGTACCAGCGCCTGCGAGGCCGCGGCGTGAACGAACACCCGGGAGGCAGCTGGGACTCTGCCGCCTCACTCCGCGAATCCGACGTACAGCCCCAGGGGCCCGAGGCCGGTTTGGATTCGGGCCCATCCAGCCGCATGGGGGACCTGCTCTCTGCGGCCGGCGGCGAGGTGTCCCAGAGGTTCCTGTAGCGCCGCGGGGAGAAGTGGCGGAAGCCCTCCATGTTCCCTCCCAGCGCGCCCAGTGTCTGCGTGAGCGTCCCGCGGCCTCCAGGAGGCGCTGCGGACACCCACTCCACCCTTGGATCCTGGGGGGTCCCAACCACCTGTGACGCTCTGGCCACTTCACAATGCGCCTGGCGCCACCGGCTCCTCGAAGCCCGCGGCAGGGAGCTGCAAGGAGCTGGTTGGAGGAAGGTCTGTAGGAAATCAGAGATGACCTTTAAAGCTGAGGGTGAATTGTGAGCCCCACCTGTGTTTCAGGCAGGCACTTGAACTTGCATACCTTGAATTTTAAGAAAGCTTCCACCGAAGTCGTCACCCTCAGAAAAGAATGCTGTAGAATGGGGGGGGGGGAGTCACGATATGTGYGAATTAAGCATCTGTGGAAGCACATTAATATGCAGCACCACCCTTTTGCTTTTTGAATTACCAAGGCCGAAACATGCTTTAATGTTTACGTTTAAAACTTCAGCACAGGAAAAAGACAATTCTGATTTTTCTCCAATATGGCAATTCCTGCTTTAGTCAAAACATGAATGTTGTGTATACATTTCTGAAAAAGTATCCGTGAATACCATGCAGAAATCACAGTTATTGTTGTTGTTTGTTTAGTCATTTTTCTACAATTTTGTGCCATTCTTTGTCCTTGCTGAGGCACCCCCATCCCCCTTAATGGGAAAAGCATTGGGTTTGGTTAGGAAAACTTGAGCTTGACTCTTCTGTCACTTTCAACTCCTGTGATCTTGGGCAATTTGCCCTCATGTTCTGGAAAGGTGCCATGCCATTGGGGAAATGGGGCTGATAATACCTGTAATATAGGGCTGTTGGGAGGATGAGGTAAAACTGTATGGAAAGCTTGCCACCATAATACATTCAATAAATGTTATTTTGATGCCCTGCTAAGCTTCTGTGAAAATTTAAAACTCAAATTAACATATGGAGTGACAAAAAATTTCTACAGATTTATAGCTTAAGAAAAGATGAATGGTTATAGGAATAGAATTGCTAGAAAGGGATAACCCCCGGGCTCTTTTTTGTCCAAACTGTACTACGGGTCTTGGGTAAGTCATTTCCCTTCTCTGGGGTTACAATGGTCTAATGGTTTGTTTCCCTCCAAAATTCTATGTTGAAATTTAATAATCATTGATAATGGTATTAAGAGGTGGGAGACTTTGGAAGGTCATGGGTGAGTCCTTCACAAATGGGATTAGTGGCCTTGTTCCAGAACAACCAGGTCACAGTGCATGAGAACTAGCCTCAGGATGTTGTGAGAATGAAAAAAGAGGTAGTCAGATCCAGGATTTCACAGAGTACAATTTATTGGGGAATTACTGATAGAAGTATGGTCCTACTTGCAACAGCAAGATGAATGCACCTCTATAATCTGGGTCAGAAGTAGGAGGTTTATAAAGCAGACAGAACAAGAGTGACTTCATCCAAGTCAGAATGTACCTGGTTTATCTTAAGGACATCAGGCTCATATCTAATGATCAGGTCACCAGGCCCTGATTATAAAGCTCAACATTACTATTCTAATGGTTTTGATCATTTATAGTGTGCTGGGAAAATATTTGGAGAAAACCAAGCAGGGTCATTCAGGAGCCATCTTGGTGGTTACAACTCAAGATGGCTGCAGATACATCAGGCTACAGCCATACTACCCTTATAAAAGGATTCCACGCAACTCCCTCATCCATTCTGCCATGCAAGGACACAGTGAAAAGATGGCTGTCTATGGACCAAGAAAGGGGCCCCCACCAGACTCCAAGTCGACTAGGGCTTTGGTGGTCTTGGACTTTCTGCCTCTGGCATTGTGAGAAATACTTATATGCAACTCAGTCTATGAGATTTTATTATAGAACCCAAATGGAAAGGAGACCTAAAAGGAAAAATTATAGACAACATTCTTCAAATGTGACCGTAAAGAAGAAAAATGAATATTTTCTTCCTCAGTTCTCTTCACCCGTATCTCCTTGGAGCTTCACAGCAACCCCAATAGAAATGATAACATTTTCCTCAGGATAAATCTGAGACTTGGCTATATTAATTGATTTTTCCAAAGGCCATTTTGTCAACAGTGGAAGTTTTGAATTCAGCTTCACTTCTTTTTCTGCCTCTTAGGAAATGCACTATTAATTGAGACATGCTTTTAAGATGCAAATCACAAAATACACATTATCAGAAGTAAATCAGAGGGCCATGGACTCCATGTCCTTGAAGCCTCTTTGCATCCCTAACTGCAGTGATGGAGCAGTGAGGCACTCGACCTGGACAATGTCTCCCTAGCAGCCATTACTTCTCTGAGGACAAGAAGTTTCTGTCCTCAGTGTCTGTGGGTGCCACTCACATCCTCATTCAATCAATCGATGTGATTATAATCCTTACAAGGAGATAGAAAATTTAAAAACATTAAACCAAATTTGAAATAGAATTACTTAGTTTTGGTAAATTAGGAAATATTTGGGCATGAATTGAGTTATGCTGATAGCTGAGCAACATATCTCTCTGGTGAAGCTTTGTAAAACATTTTTCATGAAGTGTGGCTCTGGCCAATTCCCAGGCCACTTCCTGTCACAGAGAAGCAGTGTTAAGTGGGTGAAGGCATATTCCCCTTATCTCCCCCCCCCAAGAGCCAGAGATTGGCCACCAGTCAACTCTGCTTTCACCAAGTCACTGAGCAGTCATCTCACCATGAGTCTCAGCATCCTCATCACTGCAGAAGATGAACCAGTAAAGGCTCTTTCAGTCCCAAGTGAAACTGAAGAAGGGTTTAACCTATAAAATGCCTCAGACTTTGTTCTGTAAAGCCAAAATGAGTTAACCCATGAAAAACGCTTAGAACAGTGCCTGGCATGTTGTAGCTGCCTGATAAAATTAGCCACTGGAGTCATTATCATTATGCCCAGAGCACTAAAGATGATAGTTCTGTAGGGCTGAAAAAAGACTTAGTTTGAGACAAAGCCAAATTAGAACCCTCAGATTTCAGCTTTGAGCTCTTTGGCCTCTTGCTTCCTCTGAAGGTTCTCAGAATTTGTCATGAAATCATGCATGGCTCGTTCACCACTATGGTGATGGAGTAAAGGACATAGTCTTAACTTTATAGCGCTATTGATTGGAACTTTGGGCCAGGATTAGAAAGATAGCATCACTAGAAAAAACATCCAGGTTAACAGATGTGATAAGTGGTTAAATGGTCACCTTAACTGAGTCCCCAGGGGAGAGAGGGATTTGTTCTATCTTGATTGTTCATAAGTGAAGTCTTTGTAAAGGATGACATTGGAGATGAACCTGGGAGGACAATGAGGATTTCTGCAGACAGGGCTGAGCAGAAAGAGGCAGCTGGCTGAGGAAGTTGCATGGCCAGCGTGGAGCCCCCAAAGACCTGGAATATTGAGGTTATGTGTGGTTTGTGTAGTGGAGGTATGGGGGGGTGGTAACAAGAAAGAGGGTCTGGGCCTACTGAGATTCTGTAGGGCCTCGAATGCCAAGCCAAGGAGCATGGGCTTCCTCCCCTGGGACAGCATTTCCAGCCAGGTCTAGAAGAACTCTAGGATTCCTTGGAGCTTCCTTGGGCCCCAGAAACAGGGAGAACTGGAAGTCTTTAGGGAAGGCTGTGAGTCCTCTGCCCCTGCTTTGCTCAGAGAAGCTTTAGATTGTATTTGTTTTCTACCCTAGAGATTGTTAAATCACCTCATTGAAAAACATTTGAGGTTCTTCTGTTTATACAAAAGGGTTAGAATCCACTATGTCGATATCAGTAGGGATTTGGTAAAATCCAGAAAAGTGACCCCATGGATCTGGTGTTTTAGAAAGCTCAACCTGGCAACAATGTGGCAGATAAGAGGCTGGTACAGCAATCTGGGTGAGCAATAAGGAAATTAAACCAATGGCAAGGGGACTGGAAAGGATGGATTTGAGGGGCAGTTCAGAGATTAAGGACCATGACCCAGAGATGGATTTGGTCTGGAAAAAGAGGGTTTCTAACCTGGGTTCTCCTGCTGATAATGAGTGACAGTGATAAAAATCAGCAGTCTGGGTGACCTTGAGGACAGTGATCTTGGAAATCGGGTGAAAGAAGCTGTAAGAATGAATGGATCCCACAGAGAACAGCAAACAGAATGTCTGGAACAAACTGATGAAACTTGGAAGAGAAAACCTCCTTGAGGGGCCTCGTGAGGAAGCTCTAGCCTTAGAGGACAGCTGCACAGAGCAGGGACAACCCTCACCTGCATCTTCAGCATCTGATTAAGACCCCTTGGAGGATCCCCAGCTTGGAAGTCATGTCAGCTCTTCCATGGGACAGATGAAAGAGATGTTTTGCAAATGCTAAGCTGCCAGGCATTCCCTTGATACTGAGAACAATCAGCCTCATTTTTATTTGGCAGAAAAATCCTTTGTGTGTTTCATTGGATGTCTCGGAAGGTGGCCTTCTGCCAATTGATGACCTGAACCTCTTTTCTTAATTTGTTGGAGTGTTGGAAAATATGGCCAAATGTGCTCTGACCCCACAATTCGAATTAATCTATGGAATTAAAAGGAGTTTCGTGCCCTTCCTCAGAATAGACTGTTGATTGACRTGGGGACTTGAAATTCTAGAGCTCCTAATTCTTGGATGGATTAAAGGGGATATATCAGCTAGATACCACAGATGTCCCCCAAAAAACAGTACCTGAAGTATCTCAGGTGGTATGAGCACTTGAATGTGGCTAGTTTAAACCGATAGATGCACAAGTATAAAATGCACAGTGGATCTCAAAAACTTAGTATGAAAATTATAMAATATACCAACTTAAAATACTTGTTACATATTGGGATGATGGTATTTGGAATTCATGAGATTAAAAAAAATGTATATTATAAAAATTAATTTCACATTTTCTATACTTGTTTTAGTGTAGCTACTAGTGAAGTAAAAATTACATATATATGTGGCTAAACATCATGGCATCTTCATTACTTTTCTGTGAGAGGTATCTTTAAATTATTTTAACTGACACATAGACACATAAAAATTGTACATATTAATGGGGTATCATGTAATGTCTCAATATTATGTATACATGATGATTAAATCAGGGCAAACCTATCTATCTCCTCATTTATTGTTTCTTCATGGGGGAACTTTTAAAATATTTTCTTCTAGCTTTTGGAAATTTACAGTACATTATTGGTATCTGTAGTCACCTTTCTGTGCAATAGCATCCCAGAATTTCATACCCCTGTCTCACTGTAAATTAGCACCCATTAGTCCACCTCTTGCCCCATCACAGTATATTTCTGTTGGACAATGCTGCTCTAAGTCATAGAGATTGCCCAATACTCATGTTGTAAGTGAAAACTTTTAACATCTAGGTAATTTTTATTTTATACAAATTTATTGCTTTAAAATTTCCTTTTCTAAGAAAAAATATCTAAGAAGATTTTTTTCAAATCATTGTCTGGATGATAGGATAAATGATTAATTTCCAAAATTCAGCTTTATAGTACAATTTCACAGGATTTTATTTCTTTTATGTATCCCTCTATGTTTTCCTCACTACACAACAAAACAGATGTCCCCCCAAAACAGTATCTGAAAATATAAAACAGGGCTGCTCTCTGCATGTGACTACAATGTGCTTTCAACTCATTAAAAATATCAGAGCCACGAAATAGTAAAACCAACCAAACCAAACAAGCATGCAAATATAAGGACAATAAGTGGAAAAACTCTTTATTAATGCAGCGCTAAGAATGAAGATCATAGCCTACAAACTTCTCTTTTAAAGATAAAAAGAAAATAGTGGGTTAAGAATCTGGAAATAGGAAAGTTAAGTTGCCATGGAAACAAT